TAGTGAACATTATTATCATTATTGTCATATATTAATGGATATGGATCCAATTGTTAAGGATAATGATACTTCTCCTACTAAACATCTAATTCATGTATCTGTAGGATCGACAACTAGAAGAGTAAATGTAATAAATTAAATTTGATTTAATGGATAGATTAAATATTTATAAAAATAATAATAAGTAGATATATATAGTGTCAACCTGCATCGTAACTCTTAATGTACGTAGTTAGAATTCTTTTCAATGTCTTCTGTCTTCTTAGGCATATCTCACGATAGAGTTGTATCACTTATATATATTTGCTATAAGCAGGGGCAGATTTAGGAAGGCTTAACGTGACACTAATTCCTCAATTTTTTTTTTATTAAAAACGTGTCTATATTTTCTTTCTTTCTTAATTAGTTAAAGTGACATGACCATTTGTAAAATAAAAAATATTGTGTAACCCACAGTACATTATGGCAGTGTATAAAATTTAAATTTATTTTATAACGATAAGGAATATAAAACAAAAGCGTACAAAAACTGATACAACATTTTATGACAACCATGTCCTTTCATTAATTTATAGTCCCACAACATGGTATCTGTGTTATGTTCGTAGCAACGTCAATCTCTCTTGCGGCACTTGTAGATTAAGAAATCCCATTAATTTGTTAATTTTAATAGGACTCTCTTCGTCTCTATTTATTTGTCAAATATTTTTTAATTTGATGTCTCTTTTTACTTGTCATTTTTTTATAAATTAAGAAAGGATAGTTTTATCCTTATTATACCTTCAATTTATTAATGTTGAGTTAATGTCTTTGAAAAATATAATAAATAAATATATTTAAGCTCTTATCAATTAATAAATATAAAATGATAAACTCACTATACTAATCAATATTTCTTATAATATGTGTATCAAGTCAAAATTTAACCAAAAAAAAGGACAGAAGTGTTGTAAATCATTTTGGTGGTTAAATGGATGACCATAACTCCTTGGTTAATTTCCCTCCTTTATGAGTAGTAATGTTGTTGATAATGTGGTCAAATGGATGACCATAACTCCTAGGTTAATTTCATCCTTTATTGGTAGTAATGTTGTTGATAATATAGTTAATTGGATGACCATAACTCCTAGGTTTATTTTCTCCTTAATGGGTAGTAATTCTCAAGGTTTAATGTAATGTTTATGACACCCTTTGGTGTTCCTCAATGTAATCCTATAAATAGTGGTGTTGAGAATATTGATATACTTGAAAGAAAGAAAGTTAGCTTATATTGTTCTTCTTGCCTTATATTCTTCTTCTCTTCCTCTTTATTTTGTTCTTTTGTTCTTAAGTTTTACAAGACGTTATCAACACGAAGTCTCAAGGTTGAACAACATTTCTTGTGAGGTATCCATTTATAATCTAATGTTAAAATTATTAAAATGTGGCTATACTTTTTCTTCTTTACATTTTGTTTATAATTCAATGAAAAAAGGTTAACTATTTATCGATTTGGTGAAGAGAAGATGAAGGTCACTGTTTAGTGAAAAATAATAATAATAAAAAAGAATGGATTACAAATTCTAGTGTTTTTTGTTCTCAATGGAAAAAGTGAATTATCTATACTATTGATTAATTTTTAATGAAAAGACTTTATCTAATGAGGTTGAAGCACATGGCCAGTCTGAAAGAAGACAAAATAAAAATCAGGGCCAAAATAATGTGCGTGGACGTGGCAATGGCAGAGGACGATATAATAATCGTCGTGGTGGTGGTCGCCACAAAAGGGAGAACAATATGGGTTCTCAAAGCAATCCTTCAAGAGGCAATTGTCATCGTTGTGGCATGAAAGGGCATTGGAAGAATGAATACTGAGCAACTGAGCATTTTGTTAGGCTTTATCAAGATTCCTTGAAAAGGAAAGGAAATAAAAATGGTGCATCTTCTTCTAATGCTCGGGTGGAGTCACACTTGACTCATAAAAATGATGCCGAGACAGGGCCTTCACAAAAATATGATGACAATATTGAAGCAAATTTGGCTTTAAAAGATGATGATTTTGATGACCTTGATGATATTACTCATTTGGAAGTTGAAGACTTCTTTGGAGATCAAAACTAATGTTTGATCATTTGATCGGGGAAAATAATTATGTTGTTTTATTTATGTGCTTTTAATTGTTATGCTTTTCCTTATGTTGTTTTTATATTCAGAAAAAAAAAGTAATTTTATTTTCTTGCATAGTTGTTGATTTTTCATATTTCTTATGATGTACTTTTATTTTATGAAGATAAATAAAATTCCTCAATCTTCAATTGGTTCAAAATGAGTAATGGAGATATGTGTCTTCTTGATAGTGCTACAACTCACACTATTTTAAGAGAAAGGAAATATTTCTCTAATTTGATTATGAAAAAGGCATATGTTAATACAATATCTGGTAGTGCAAAATTAATTGAGGGCTCCGGAAGAGCGGCCTTATTACTACCTAGGGGAACGATATTAAATATTAAAAATGCGTTGTACTGTAGTAAGTCTCAAAGAAACTTATTAAGTTTCAAGGTTATTCGCCAAAATGGCTACCATGTTGAGACTGCCAATGAAGGAAAGGTTGAATACGTTTATATTACTAAAGTAAAATTGGGGCAAAAATATGTGCATGAAAAATTACCCGCATTTTCTTCTGGATTGTACCATACAAGTATTAGTATGGTTGAATCACATGCCATAGTAAACAAAGGATTTACTAATCCTAATGATTTTATCATTTGGCATGACCGGTTGGGCCATCCCGATTATAATATGATGCACAAAATTATTGAGAATTCACATGGGCATACTTTGAAGAATAAAAAAATTCTTCAATCAAAGAAATTCTCTTATGCTGCTTGTTCTCAAGGAAAGTTGGTTATTAAACCATCAACAACTAAGGTTGGGATTGAATCCCCTGCATTTCTGGAACGTATACAGGGTGATATATGTGGGTCAATTCACCCTTCATGTGGGCCATTTAAATATTATATGGTCTTGATAGATGCATCTACAAGATGGTCACATGTGTGCTTATTATCAACTCGCAATATGGCTTTTGCGAGGTTGTTGGCTCAGATAATAAGATTAAGAGCACAATTTCCAAATTATGCAATAAAGACAATTCGTCTTGGTAATGCTGGTGAGTTTACATCGCAGGCCTTTAATGATTATTATTTGTCCACTGGGATAACAATTGAACATCCAGTTGTTCATGTTCACACTCAAAATAGTCTAGCAGAATCTTTAATTAAGCGCCTCCAATTGATAGCTAGACCATTGTTAATGAGGACAAACTTACATGTTTCAATATGGGGGCATGCTATTTTGCATGCAGCAGCATTGGTGCGCATAAGGCCAACTAGTTATCATGAATTTTCTCCATTACAGTTGGTTTTTGGTCATGAGCCAAATATTTCCCATCTTAAAATTTTTGGGTGCGTGGTATACGTTCCAATTGCCCCACACTACGCACAAATATGGGTCCCCAAAGAAGGTTGGGAGTGTATGTTGGGTATGGATCTCCTTCTATCATCAAATATTTGGAACCTATGACAGGAGATATATTTACGACAAGGTTTGCTGATTGTCATTTTAATGAATCAGTATACCCAACATTAGGGGGAGAACATAAGCAGTTGGAAAAAAAGATAGTTTGGAATTCATTATCTCTATCTCAATTGGATCCTCGAACAAATCAATGTGAGCAAGAGGTTAAAAAGATAATTTATTTGCAAAACGTTGCAAATCAACTGCCAGATGTATTTACTAACCTTCCAAGGGTTACTAAATCTTATATTCCAGCAACAAATGCTCCAGTTCGAGTTGATGTCCCGGTAGGACAAATTGTTAAAGCAAATGAGTCAAAACCACGTTTAAAACGTGGTAGGCCAATTGGTTCAAAGGATAAAAATCCTCAAAAAAGAAAAGGAACAAATGATCATGAAGATCATACCATGGAGGAAATTGCTCAAGAAGAGCTCCCAGATATAACAAATTATAAGACCACAAAGAAGGTCCAAATAACTGAAAATAATGAGAATGAAGAAATCTCAATAAGTTATGTCTCGACGAGAAAAAGGTGAAATCGAAATAATATTGTGGTAGACAATATTTTTGCTTATAATGTTGCTGTTGAAATAATGCAACAATGTGAGTATGTTGAACCAAAATATGTCAATGAATGCAGACAGAGAAATGATTGGCCAAAATGGAAAGACACGATTCAAGCGGAATTGACTTCACTTGAAAAACGTGAAGTTTTTGGACCAATAGTCCGAACACCTGAAGGTGTCAAGCCAGTGGGGTACAAATGGGTTTTTGTGCGAAACGAAATGAAAAAGGTGAAGTCGTAAGATATAAAACACGACTTGTGGCACAAGGTTTTTCGCAAAGGCCTGACATTGATTATGTGGAGAAATATTCTCCTGTGGTAGATGCAATTACCTTCAGGTATCTAATAAATCTGGCAGTTCATGAAAAGCTTGAAATGCGTTTAATGAATGTTGTCACAGCCTATTTATATGGATCATTAGACCACGATATTTTCATGAAAGTTCCTGAAGCATACAATGTGCCTAAAGCATATAAAAATTCACAAGAAAATTGTTTGATAAGGCTTCAGAAATCCTTATATGGATTGAAACAATCAGGGCGAATGTGGTACAATCGTCTTAGACAATTTTTGCTAAAGGAAGGGTGCAAAAATGACCCTATTTGTCCTTGTGTTTTTATAAAAAGGTCTGGATTTGATTTTGTTATAATAGCTGTGTATGTTGATGATTTAAATATCATTGGCACTCCTAAAGAGATTTCAAAAGCTGTTGAGTGTTTAACGAACGAATTTGAAATGAAAGATCTTGGTAAGATAAAATTTTGTCTTTGCCTACAGATTGGCATTTGAAAAATGGAATTTTTGTCCATCATCAACATACACATAAAAGGTTTTAAAGCAATTTTACATGGATAAATCACATCTATTGAGTACCCCGATGGTTGTGAGATCACTTGACATACATAAAGATCCATTTCGACCGCAAGAAAATGATGAAGAGCTTCTTGGCAATGAAACTCCATATCTTAGTGCCATTGGGGCGCTTATGGATCTTGCTAATAATACTCGACTAGATATCTGTTTTGCAGTAAATGTATTGGCAAGATTCAGCTTATCCCCAACAAAGAGACATTGGAATGGAGTCAAACATATATTAAGATATCTTCAGGGAACCATTGATATGAAATTATTTTATTCTAATAAATCCAAGTCAGAAATGATTGGTTATGCAGATGCTGGATATTTGTCTGATCCACATAAAGCTCAATCTCAGACAGGCTATATATTTACATATGGAGGCACAACTATCTCTTGGCGTTCAATGAAACAAACATTAGCTGCTACTTCTTCAAATCATGTAGAAATAATAGCCATCCATGAAGCAAGTCGGGAATGTGTTTGGTTAAGATCAATGACTCACCATATTCAAGAAATGTGTGGTTTTTCTATGGAAAAAGATATTCCAACTACATTGTACGAAGACAATGCTGCATGTATAGCTCAGCTGAAATGAGGATATATTAAAGGAGATAGAACAAAACACATTTTACCAATTAATAAAGATAAAATGATAAACTCACTATACTAATCAATATTTCTTAAAATATGTGTATCAAGTCAAAATTTAACCAAAAAATAAAAGGACAGAAGTGTTGTAAATCATTTTGGTGGTTAAATGGATGACCATAACTCCTTGGTTAATTTCCCTCCTTTATGAGTAGTAATGTTGTTGATAATGTGGTCAAATGGATGACCATAACTCCTAGGTTAATTTCATCCTTTATTGGTAGTAATGTTGTTGATAATATAGTTAATTGGATGACCATAACTCCTAGGTTTATTTCCTCCTTAATGGGTAGTAATTCTCAAGGTTTAATGTAATGTTTATGACACCCTTTGATATTCCTCAATGTAATCCTATAAATAGTGGTGTTGAGAATATTGATATACTTGAAAGAAAGAAAGTTAGCTTATATTGTTCTTCTTGTCTTATATTCTTCTTCTCTTCCTCTTTATATTGTTCTTTTGTTCTGAAGTTTTACAAGAAGAGTATATTGGTTGCATTGATACTTCGGTCAATTAACATGCTAATGTATTGGGTGGTATTGAAAAGAGTTATATATTGCAGTAAATCAATTATTCTTTCACTTTCAATTTATTTGTTTTTTTTTGTCCATTTACAAAAAAATATCTTTGTTCTTTTCTAAATCCTCTTTAGTTTCAATTTTTGCACATGACATATTTAATATTATAAAATTATAAGATATTTTTGTATATTCTAGGCATCTTTCATTTAAAAGCACAAGATTAAAAAGTATTTTACTCTCTTTATCTCAATTTATGCGATACATTTCGATTTCGAGATTCAAACAAGTCTATCTTTGACCGTAAATTTTTCATATATCTTTTAAATATTTTGAATTGTCAATTATTGTGACTTATAGTACCTTTTACGTAGTTTACAAATATATATATATATATATATATATATATATATATATATATATATATATATATATATATATTTCATTTAAAAAATTTGAAGATTCCATGAGCAAATTCTCAGTCAAACTTAAACTCTTTGACTCTCGAAAAATGATATGTCACATAAATTGGGACAAAAGAAGCAGTATTTACTACTTATCTTTTATTTAAGACCACAATATTAAAAAAAATCGTAAATTCTACGTCCAATAAAAAATGAACAAATAAATTAATACGGAGGAGAGGAGGGAGTAATATATAACCTACTTCCTCTATTCCGTATTAAGTAAATTTGTGAGGCTGTAATGCATACCTATTAAGAAAAACATTTAAGGACATAATTTAAACTATATTTTTCATTATTTCCCTTTTGTTTATCCTCAAGTCGTGCAATTTATCTCCTAGAAAATATCTCAATTATTTATCTTGAACTTTGAATAATTCAATTATTTTGAATAATAAAAAAAAGGGATAAGGGTCTGAAAAATACCCCAACTTTGGTCGGATTTGCTATTGCGATGCTAAACTTTCATAAGGACCTATTACCTCCCTAGACTATTTAATACCATATTTTTTATTCCATGAACTATTTAATAGTGTATTTTAAAGGTATATATGTGCCCACGTGGACACATTACTATTTATAATTTTGCATTATTTTTTATGTCCACTTGGGCAAATATATATGTTTAAAATGCGATATTAAATAGTCTAGGGAGGTAATAGGTCCTCATGAAAGTTTAGTATCGCAACAACAAATCCGACCAAAGTTGGGGTATTTTTCAAACCCTTATCCCTAAAAAAAAGGAAAAAATTACAAGGATATTGTGTTTAAGACTTTAATTTAGAATATAAAATATATTCTTTTTTAATTACAAAACTAAGTTTTTAATTCCAAATATAGTATTTAAAAATAATACACGTTTTTTAATTTTTTTTTGGGTTAGTGTGCTTATTTTTTGGTTAGTGTGCTTATTTTTTGGGTCTCATAATAAGATCTTTTTTTTTTCTCTCCATAATTAATCTCAATCACAAGAATATTCTCTCAGATATGTTTCTCTCTTATTACTCTCTCATCTCTCACATTTCTTCCACTGTTAGTATCTAGGTAAAGGCTTCATTCTTGATAATATTTTGGTTCTTTTCTATTCTTGCTTCTTCTTCTTTTTTAAATCACCTCTAATTAAAGAACAAAAAATGTTTTGGTTATAACTTTACGATGAAAAAATTCATGGATTTTCCTCCTAGAAGGAGCCTTAGGTTAAAAATCTCAAAAATTCACTTAATATGAAATAAAGAGAGTATTATGTTTATACAATCTTTTACTAGTTCATGGTTATTTGAGTATACATATAATATTATTTCTTCAATTTGTATGAGGTTGACATTCACTTCAAAATAAGTTTTTACTAAATTCCACTTCTAATTGCGTTTCCACCAATGTATAGTGGTCCATGAGTTGGAAAAGTAAATGGGATGCCTTCAAAGTTGAGAAAATAAAGAAGAAAATTAATGCTAAGAGTCCACATCCTAACAATTGTCATCTATCATAATTCATAGTGAAAAATATGCAAAGCAAGAGCACACGTCTCATTCATTCTTAGATGTTACAAGATAAGAACTACAACCTTTTTAGCATATAGATTGTGACCATACTATTGGTTCAGAGTATTTATGAACTCAAGTCCCATTCATTCTTAGATGATCACTTTGTCACTCTCTCCCACCATTTACCCATCAATTGTCTTGAAATTTAAGTGTCAATTGTTTCAAACCTTAGCTAGCGGGATCACTCCATTTAAAGCCTATTTGGATGGGCTTATAATTTTTGGCTTATTAGCCAGATTTTTCGTTTATTTTTGTTGTTTCTCACTTAAAAATAAGTGTTTATAAATACATTTTTATTCTATCCAAATACTGTAAAATTGTTTGAAATTTATTCAATCTTAAAAGTATTTAAAATAAGTTAATCCAAACAGACTCGTATAATTTCCTTTACAAATTCATGAGAACCTAATAAATTTTGTCTAGACTTTAATGTATATTTAAAAAATCATAAATTTTGTCTGGACTTTGGATTCAGACGTTTTGACTTCACATGTAGGCTTAAGATAAATATTTATAATTTATTATCTTTGTATAATCCATATATTTCAAATTCTGAATTTTTATTTTTAGAGTGGTGGAGCTAAGAATTTCACATGTCCAAAGGGGGGGGGGGGGGATTGTTGCTAGTGAGATTCAAACACATGAGCTCTTTCTTAGGGCTCTTTCAAGACATCTAAAATCACTAGGCTACAACACCTTGCTCTGTCAAGAATGTCCAAAATATATTATTTAATCACTTTGTATATTATTTACTTATATATATGGTATTATTTTCCGACGAAGAACACCTTGAATATAGCATAGCTACGGGGCTTCACTAAGGACATGTACATTAACTAGCGTTATGGTCGGACTCCACTAATTTAATGAGGACAAAATCTCTCATTGGACAAATAAAGTAAGAGGAAACATAAAGGTTCCATATGTTTCCTCAAACAGAGATTAAAGTAAGCAAATCATGCTTCATGTCAAGTTTCAACATATTTCTTTTTCTGCTTATGGATGGAGTGTGCTACTTTTTAGGCAGTTTGTAAACCTATTTAGGTTAGAACACGTAACATAGAATGATTTGTAAAGAATAGGTATATGCCAAATTACAAAATATCACTTGTTTTGTCACTATTAATGCTAGTGGGTTCTACAATTTTTTTGAGTTAAATGCTAGACTTTAGTCCATGATATGATTTGTCAAAAAATAATTACAAGATAAGGTTCATGAATCATGGTAAAGGTTTTTGATTCATTCCATTATTTGGATTTGGGTTCTTAGCCCATTGAAAGAAGAGTTTTTGGTCAAAATTGTGTTGCAAAATAATTAGAAGATAAGGTTCATGAATCATGGTAAAGGTTCTTCATTCATTCCATTCTATGGATTTGGGGTTCTTAGCTCATTGCAAGATGAAATTTTGGTCAAAATTGTTTTCGGCAAAGCAACAAGCATGTACAAGAAAATTAAAGCAATCTCCTTTCATAAGCTTTATCACGAGCTTGAGTCATTTTCTTTGGTTTTGGATTTTAGAAGATTGTCAAATTTTGGTTCATGAATATATATAGTGGGGAAATTTCATAAATAACTAACACTAGATAAATAATAAGGTTCCTTAGTTTATGTGTGTCTGATTACAAATCGTAGCTACAATTTAATTAGCTACGGAATTTAGTAATAGTATAATCCGCATTTTTTTGATTAATTATACAAGTATGTCAGGCAATTTATTTCTTGGAGAATACTCTTAAATTTTTGAAATTGGTACAAAAATATCATTCGTTAACCTATTGCCCCACAAAATGTCCTTAGGGTTAATCTTTGTGGACCTTTATTACCCTTATTCACAAACAACCCATTAATTAAATTAATTAATTTTCTCATTTAATACGTGTCACATTTTGATTTGCTAGAAAAATAATTCATCAAAAATTAATTTAATTTAACCTAAATTTGGATCCACCCATTGAATCACCCACCCAACCAAAACTTCATTATTTTGAACGGTGTCATTTTATCTGCATCCGTGGAGCAGAGGATTCTGACAAGTATGGTGAAGGAGATCAAGGACATGGAAAGGGAGTAAATGACGAGGATTGAACCGGAGGAAGCGGATGATGGTTACAAAAGAGGAGGATGGAGAACCAAATCTGATTATTTCATCAGAAATCGAATGATTGAAGGGTGTAAGAGGCTATTGACTATTAGTTTATTGGAAATCGAACGATTGAAGGGTATTTAGAAAGGTAATGACGTCAGGTTTGAATCATCATGGTTTGAGGCAGAGAAAGAAAATTGAAAATCTTGTTGATTAACAAAATAAACCTTCTCCGCCGTTACGGGTGCCGGAGTTCTGTCGTAAATATTTTAGGTTAATGGGTTCTTACGTTTAGAATAATTCAATTTTTAGTTGGGTCATGGTTGGGTGGATACAG